ACAAAAATGGAGAAAGTGGACAGCCTTGACGGACACCACTTGAAGTTGCAAAAGTAGATGACAGTTCGCCATAAGCCCTGACTCGACTAGTAGTGTTCGAGTAAAGAGCCTTCACAAGGTTTATGTACTTCTGAGGTACGCCTTTCAATGACAGACACTCCCACAGAGTCTCGCGGTCTACAGAGTCAAACGCTGCTTTTAAGTCAAGAATGACCACCATCGTCGGACGCCGATAGGTATGCCTGTGTTCTAGAACCTGACGAATGGTGAATATGTGGTCGATGCAGCCACGACCAGGTCTAAAGCCAGCTTGGTTCTCTCGAGTTTGTAGTTCACGAGTCTTAGTTAGACGTCTGATAATTATCGAGGCCAGTATTTTAGATACTATGTTTGTTAAACTAATCCCTCTGTGGTTGTCACAGGATGATTTTGACCCTTTCTTATATATTGGGACGATGAGTGATTGCGACCAGTCAGATGGGATAAAGTCTAATTCCCAGATCTTAGCTAAAATATTAGTCAACCTAATCGCTAAAATTGGACCACCATCCTTAAAGACCTCTGGAGCCAATCCATCTGGACCAGCTGCCCTTCCTCGTTTCAGATTAACTATAGCCTTTTGAACTTCAGCAAGAGTTGGGGGACCTACTTCAATGTTCCATTCACATTGTCTGGGAATGGAGGGTAGTTGTAGAGTAGCTGAAGGCCAGTTGAACTGTTCTCTAAAATGTTCCACCCATCGTTCTAAGCGTCTGGACTGGGAGCAGATGAGAGTATCATCTTTTTCCGAAATAATCTCACTTACACTTGACTTATTAATTCCAGTTTCTTTTATTAGTCTGTAAAGCTGTCTTGTGTTCCCTATAGTCGCCGCCTTTCCCATCTCTTTTGCTTTCGTTACCCACCACTGCTCACGGTCGTTCCTTAGACTTTTTCTTAACCTAGATCTGATTTGTTTTCGCTCTTCATCATGTTCAGAACCTGATGGGACGAGTTTGCGAGAATCCATCAGTGTGACAGACCTTGAAGAAATCCACTGGTTCCTTGCAACTCTGTGGTTTAAGTCACTAATAGATGTCACTGCTGTTTCCACAGCTGATTGTATGCCCTTCCAAGCAACATCTGGGTCAGCCTCGTCTTCACAACTACCTAAGTGTGACCTCAGTTGTTCCTGGAACCTACTTTTGGTTTTCTCGTTACTCAACTCAGTTCTAACGGGTCTTTTTAATGTGGCTTTTTTGCGTCCAGTGAGGCGCAAGCAGATGCGTGCCCGTATTAGGGCATGGTCGGAGTCCAAGCAGGTACCCCAGAATGAGCGACAATCTTCTACCGACCCTCTCCAACGATGACTGATGGCAATATGGTCTATTTGAGTCCATCGTTGGTTTGGTGTAGGGGGTCGCCATGTTAGACGATGTCTCTCCTTATGCTTAAAATTTGTGTTTGCTAAAAATAAACGATTGTCTGAGCACAGCTGCAGCAGACGATCACCATTATCTGTTCGCTGTGTCGGAATACTAAAATATCCACCTAAATGCCTTTCTGTTTGGTTTAAGCTACCTATCTGAGCATTAAAATCACCTGCTACGAGTACTATGTCTGAGCGTTTAGCTTTCTGAAGAAGTTCAGAAAGCTTTCTGTAAAATTCATCTTTCACTTCATCTGAGCTGCAGTCAGTGGGAGCGTAGGCAGAAACGACAAAAAGGCAACGACGTGTGTCCCTATCCTTCCGAGTTCTTACGTAGCCGTTCAGCCGAACAGCACATAGACGACTGTTGACGGGGATCCACTCTAGCAGTGCTTGTTCGGCCCTCATGCTTAGTGCTATGCCTACACCTGCCAGTCCACGAGAACTGGCCATCGGGTCACCAGATACACGAAGGGTGTATCTCGTTGGCTCTCCGTTTTGCCGAGGTGAGGTCAAGTGAATGACCACACTGGGATCCTGTATGCGTGTTTCAGAGACACAGCATACATCAATGGAAAGAGACTCTAGGGTTTTAGCCAAGGAAGCCTGCTGACCGATTTGACATAGAGTGCGTACGTTGAAAGCTCCAATGTGTAGTTTGGAGCGAGGTTTCAGTAGACCTGGGACAGAGTTTTGAGCACTAGAATCGTTGGCTGTGGTGACACTTGAGGAGGAAGCCGAAGGAGGAAGTTTAGGGTTGAAAGTCGATGTAGGAGGAATAATAGGAATTGAAGAGGAAGGTTGATTATGAATACAGTGGTCTTGGGTGCTGTTAGAGGTATGAGGGCGGTTATCACTTCCCGGTTGCCCACACCGTGGAGGGGTTCTTCTGGAGGTACCTGAAAAGGAAATTGGATTAGAGGTGGTCTCAGTGACCTGAGAGCGTGACCGCAGTGCCCAAGGGACAACTGCTTGAGGGCGGTCGCGCACGGCCTTTTCGTGGAAGGTTTTCGACGTGTTAGCTCCGTTCTTCAAAGGGCCTTACCGCCGGAGACGGAAATCCGTGAGGTAAGGTGAGGTGTGCATTTTTAGGGTCGACCTTTTCTAACCCCACCCCTCCTTGTGGGAAGGCAGCATCGCTGTCATGCTGGTTGTCTGAAGGAAACACCTTACTGCTGTCACACCTATGTACAGTCAGCAGTACGACTTCGCCTTCGGACCTTGGGTTTGTTGCTTTTAGTCTTACCGCTCTTCAACCGACCTGTCTGACATGGTAGGACCTTGAGGAACGGTTGTTCCAGTCAGTATAGCTCGGTTGCTTCATCACGATAGGCAAGCCCGACCACCACGTCAAGGTAGCAACATTATCTATAAAACAATAAATAAAATTATCAGGACATGTGCAGACTTAATTACTTCATGTCTTAATACATGATACATATTGGTTAATGTAAGGCTTTTTTGATATTTGTATTGATTGCATTTACGATCAAACTTATTTAACTGCCTGTTAAGGTATGGCTGACTAGATTTATACTTATCAGGTGTGCTGTCTTAACATAAACTGAGAGTTAAGAAGTTAGATTGTTCATTTAAATTTGTGAACACATCAAAAGTTAAGGCATGATTTAATTTCAGCATAGTTCCTATTCATATTTATTTATTTGAACACATAAATATTGGGTCAAGGGGACACCAGATATATATATATGCTACACAAAACAATAAGAATGGGAAGAGAAGAAGAAGGTAAGGTGCGTACAAGAAAAAAAAGAACAAAAACGTTCACAGATTAGTGAATGGTGGTGTAATAATAGTAATAATAATGGGGGAAACGGAAAGGTACAATCAGAAGAAATCTTTCAGTTAAGGAAGATACAACCGTTTTTTATGAAGAAAGTAAAAGAAGGTTACAGCACGATCGCCACTGGCTTCTATTCTGAGCCATATCTGATAACGTCTCTAGCCACTGTGTAGCACCATCTCTCGGACTCCAGCCAGGGAGTCGTGAAGGGCCAACAGAAGCCAGCCCATTGCAGCTTTCCTTTATACCACGACACCATGTCATACACTGACCAACTCTCCGCTTTTTCCAACCAGGATACTACGAGGAATTCTCTGGGACGACATTCATAGAACATGTCCAAGCCACCGAAGTCGATTTTTCAAGATAGTGACACCAATTGGATTATCGTCTCTGCGCCCGAACACACGATGCCGAACCTCTGCATTACTAACAAAGTGTTGCCATTGGGTGTCAGCAATCCTTCGGAGACAACGATGATCAAACACAGAGATTCGTCTAACGTCCTCAACTCGGAGAGGCCAGGTTTCACAAGCATAGGACAGAACTGCTCTCACCGATGCGTTGTAGACCCGACCTTTTACAGTCAGACTAACATCACGAAGGCGCCAAAGGTGGCCCAGGTTGGCATAAGCCGCTCTGGCTTTTATTATACGTGCATTGATCTTATCACTCACACTCCCACCAGCACTTATGCAGCTACCTAGATACACGAACTTCTCGACTACTTCTATCTGCTCACCATCCAGGGTGAGTACAGGATTAGAATCCTTCCAGCCTTGTAAAAGTACTTTGCACTTAGAAGGTGCGAAGCACATACCGTACCTACGGACACTCATTGCCAACTGATTAAGTGCGGATTGCATGGCTTGGCCGTTATCGCACAGTAAGACAATATCATCCGCATACTCAAGGTCGAGAAGTCTTTCTCCAGGCAACAGATCCACACCGCCATTACTTACATCCATCAGAGCTGCTTCCAGAATATCATCGATGGCAAAGTTCAAGAGGGATGATGATATTGGGCAACCCTGTCTAACCCCACTGCTTGAGTGGAACAGCGGAGAGAGGTGGTTATATGTCCTCACTCTACCTAAGGTGTTTGTATATAGGGTTTTTAGGCACACCCTTCTTCAATAGACAATTCCAGAGAACAGTCCTGTTCAACGAATCGAAGGCAGCCCTGATTTCCTATTCAGACGTCCAGAAGAAACAATACTCGGATGTTTTATTACATTTCTGACACAATTGATATACATACTTAGGGTAATGGCTAAAATTCAGTATGAAAATACTTTGTTGTGATATAAATGAATCAACGGTGTTGCAAATAATTGTTGAGTATGTATACATACTACGTCCACAAGTACTGCTAGGTCAGATAAAAATATTCAGCAGATTATGGTGTGTAAGACAATTTACTATAACAACAACCCAGAGTTATCATAAATTATTGACTGAAACATCGACAAAAAATTTTACAGGTATATTATTATCTTAGTTTTAACCCACTTTCTTCATACGTTTGTATTTTTTTAATCCTAAGAAATACGAGAAAGTAAATCACTCTTGATAAACTTTCAGCTGCATGCAGCTCAAGTTCAAATATTTTTTTTATTAATGTCTTATATTTGAATCCATCAGCAATATATAAACACTACGAGCTCCCAATTATTTATTATTAAAATTGAAAAAAATAAACAGCAGAAATGCATGACAAAACACGATATTGTTAACTAATAGTCTTTAAGAAAGCTTTAGTCGATAACACTAATAACAACTAATCCATTATTCTTTAAGCGTGGTTACAGACTTAACTACTTTCTCTGTAGAGTTTGCCTTTGTGGAAATCGGATTGGATGATTGTTGTTTCTTGGAAGGTGCAATCCATTTAAGTTGATCAACTGAGGGTAAATCAGAATGAAGGAAAGGACATTTAGTACGATTAGTACAACCAGAACCATATCGACATGGGATTTGGCTATTGAAAACAGGGACAGTTGAAGCTGAACTTCGAACAATGATTGGAGGGGCTTGAACAACAACAGGTGGATGATAAAATTGACAATGGGGATTTGTACATCTGTTTTGAAAACGGCATACTATTTGAGCTGGGTTGGCAGATACGACAGCTATAAAAACGCAAATAGTAAGATAAACAGATAATTAAAAAAATTCATACTCGTTTTAACGTAGCATACATTAATAAACGGACGGTTTTGTAACCCCACACACAGACACACACTAGTACGTGAAAATTAATACTGCTAGATTAATTCTACAACGTCTCCTATAAGAGGATAACACAAAATTGGGATGTTTAAGTAATGGTTCTGATTAACAATATAAAAGTCATTAATTCAAATTAATTTACTGCGAAATCATAGTTATATCAGACGTACATAGGTTGTTTTTAATGAAAATAAAGTTGTTATTATTACACGTGAAATATTGTCTGGAATTTGGACGACATGGTCTAAAAGTGTTTATCACGATGCTTAGACATTAGTATTTGGTCAAAAATAATATTACTTATAAAACACAACTTTCATTCCAGCTAGATACTGGGTGATGTAATCATTTGAACAGGTCCATGATTGTGTTAGGTTCTCGCCATATACAGCTTCATTTTTGTCTTTGTTTTATAATCTTTCAAATTTTTATTACGGACACAAATGTGGTGTTGGTATTAAATGAAGTGGATTTATCAAGTATTGCTTTATTAAATAATATCAACAATTAAACTATCGATAAATGAGTAAACTACATTAGAGAATCATATAAATAGATTATTTAGTTAAGGTTAACATTTCCAATTAATAGAACAGTCTTGTATTTTGTACTTGGCTTCAAGTAATGCTAATATCGGAGCACAAATCTTTCTAGATTTTACTTTTATCTATGTCTTTGAGACAAAGACAATTAAGAAAAGATGCTTATTTTAAATGTAAATTAGGATTTCTTACTTTTAACTTTAGATATAGATATACTTGCAGTATTAGATGGTTTGGTAAAAAAAATCATTTTTACTTCATCAGGTGGTGAAAACCACATATAATAATGTAAGATTTACAGGAAGACAATGGTAGTTTATGTGAAAAACCGTTATGGTTTACTTTTGTTGCTAAATGTTTTGGAAATCTACATTTCTAGTGATTTTACGATCAGAGTTATCGGAATAAATTTAAATTCTGCTAACGAAATATTTAGACTTGAATTAAAACGTGCAATTTTCAGGTTTATCCCAACGAAGAGTAAATGGATGGTAACCGTTGAGTTATTTATAGACTATCATCACATATATTCCTATTGAAAAATTATTAAGTAACTAGATTTTATATATCATTCGACTATTATACGACTTACCACTCTTAATTTATTCCCAGTCTATTAATTACAGTCTTCCATACTTACAGCTACTTTTGGCTTGATCTTGTATAACTAATACTTTTCACTTTATGGTGTGACGCAGCCTAGTATGCTTGTATAACAAACAAGGTATGTCTGAAACATAAGACTCAAACAGTGGAGGCTAACATTTGTGTTCTAGTCTGATCTGGCTGGACTAGGCGAGAAGCTACTATGTTGAAGACCAATAAGGATTCCGAGTTGGCACTCAAGGCTGCTGCTCATGATTGTTAACGCGTTGTTGGTTTAGCATAGGGACAAGGTCATAGAAGTCGGTATTTTGATTGGCGATTTTGTTACGTGATATTTGACGGACCATAAGTCACAATAGTACGCGTTACACTTACATAATGCCAAACAATGTCCGAAAATAAACCCACATCTTCATTTAGAACTAAACGAAAAAGAGATGTTTTTCTAGTTGGGTGTCTGAATAGCAAACCCAGTGGTATTGTGATGGTGAACTAGAATTCATAAAAAACAATCAGTCGGCAACGGCATCATCACATATATATATAACACTTACGCAATACTTTTTTCGATGAATGTGTGAAAGCACAGTCAGGGCGACTACATAATGCTCCATAACGACATGGTGGATGGACAAATGTACATGTTGCTCCAAATTTACATCGTGGAAACAACTGGCATGGTTCTGTGGGATGAATGTACTGACAGGAACTACCATTGCGACAATTAGGCCAGAATTTACAACGCTCCAATGAGCTAAAAGTAAACAGATATATAAGTTTTGATTATGTTTTTTTATAAGACAGAAGAAACTACTTGAAACTCTAAGGAAGTGACTAATATATTTTTGTCTTGGCAACAAGGTTTTGAATAATTCACTTATGTTTGAAATAAATGATGCATTGAGTTTTTACTTTAGTTGTTTTTCAGGTGTAGATAGAGTCAAACAGACCATTCAAGTAGATATTATTTCTAATATCAAGAATATAAACGAAATCTAAAAATAAGTTAGGAGTTTGAACTGAAATAGGGAATGACTACAACTTTATTATTCCAAATTATAAAACTATGAATAAGTTCTCATTGGATGTCTTCGAATACAATTTAATGTGTCCAATTGGAGAACTATAAGATTAAAAAACAGCAACTCAACTCAAGGTCTGAGGGCGAAGTCGTACTGCTGACTGTGGAGGGGTGTGACAGTAGTAAGGTGCTTCTCTGAAGGAACCAGCTTCTGCAGCGATACTGCCTTCTTACAGAAATGACGGGGTTAGAAAAGTTCGATCCTAAAAATGTCGCACCTCACCTTACCTCACGGATTTTTATCTGCGGCGGTAAGGCCTTTTGAAGAACGAAGCTAACACGTTAAAAACTTCCCACAAAAAGGCTGTGCACAACCGGTCTCAAGCAGTTGTCCCTTGGGCTCTGTGGCCATGCTCCCAGGTCGTTAAGACCAACACTAATCTGACTTCCTTTTCACGTTCCTCAAGAAATACCCTTTAACGGTGTGGACAGCGGGGAAGTGACATCAGCCCTCATACCCGTAACAGCACACGAGAACATGTTGATCACATTTAAATCCTGACTGAATATTGGACGTCACTGATTTTTTACTGATTATGGACTTTTTTTCATCTTTCATTTATGTTGGCAATTTGTTTAAGATTTTGAGATTTTATATTTATCTATCTACGGAAGATTAATACTGTTGATGTACAGCTTAAGTGTAAGTAAGAGAAGAAACAAATAGTAATATTTAACTAAAATGATTAGGCACCTGATAAATCGTAGACTAAGAGTTTTTACTATGAACAAGCGTGTATTATAATCCATGTCATGTTTACGAACTGATACTGACTTGTTCAATAACTTAGATCATGCCTTGACAACATTAATTCAAATTTTGAAATACATTTTAGTGAAATCATAAAAATTCTAACCTTGGAATATTTGGTTGAGCTTCCGATTCTGTGGTAATATCATTTTGTATCTTTTCTTTATGTTTGATTGAGCTGTTTTTCTTCTGTCTTTCAGCTCCAGCCAAAAAACCGGTAACATCTTCTTCTTCATCTGTTTCATTCAAATTCACCACTAATTGTGGTGTTGGTTGACTTAATTTATCGGCTAGAGTTATTTTTGACAAGGGTACATAGTTTCCTTTGAGTTGTAGGTTTTCATCACCGATTCCATCATTTCCGAATGCATCGTCACATGCTAATTCTACGTAGTCACCTTCAACAAAATCGTCGAATTCATTCCCTGAATTGTATTCGAAATTTTCATCACTTCGAGATAAACTAACTACGCGTCCATTGGATTGAATAACAGGGCCAAGGCGATGTTTAGCACTTATTCTACCTTCCGCATGTAATGATTTAGTATTTACTAAGCGTGGACCCAGTCGAAGTTTTCTGTCATTCAGTACATCTGTCTGATCGAAGTACCCAACAGAACGCAAGCGACCAACTGTTGAAGAATTACGAAGTTTAGGAGAAGTAATCATTTGTGTGGATTTAGGTTCGGCACCAGATAACGTAATGAAAAACCTTGTAGAATCAGGCTGTGAAGACGACGACACATCAGAACTGTTTTTTGGAACAAAAATTGAGTAAAAAGTCTCCCTTTAGCTACAAAATTTTTATATTGCACATCATACCACGAAATAGGATCAATTCGGGTTCAGTTATCAAGCTAGTACAAATTATAACCACAAATGAAAAACGATCCATCGAATATTCTAAAGGTAGTAAAAACTTAACAAATTATTGGCATGACAGTAAATGTGTCTACTTTTCAAAACCTTAGGAACTTTACTCGTTAATTCTATTGATTTTAATCCCATGAAACTTTATGAAAGTTGCTACAGAGGTTTGTGGAGATTGTTAAAGTTTTATAGTTTACATCACGGATTGACCCTAGCTAGGGAACCATCAAAAATGTGGATGCACTGTAAAGCCGTTTCGTCCTTCCATGGAACTCTTCAAGAATGTGCGTTTACGACCTCATAGGTGGTCGAGATTATTATCTTTAAGAATCACAATGAGTGGATAACCTTTAGACAACTGAGGTCCCATCCAAAGGTTTACGTGTCTGACTTGAGTTCGCAATAGTGCGCAACCACCTTTTAATGTCATTAGTGAGTGACTACTTTACGTATGACACGGTATTATTTCCCAAATATAATGTGAATACTTAACTACCTAGTTTTAAGAACAAAACTATGGTCCAGATATAGACAAATGATGAAAAGGTCGGGGAAAACAATAATTCGTTAAACACGGAGCCACCGCTAGTTTCCCAATAGTAACGGTTTTAAGTTTAGTCTTGAAAAATTACTTGGTACTGTTTTAATAGGTTTACCTTTAAACTGTGCTTAACTACCCAAGTGCGGGTTGTTTATAAGATGTATTCAGTTCATTTTTCTACAAATCAATAAGCAGTCTCACAATTTCATTTTAAAAATTGTGAATAAATAGAAACGAATCATAATCCTTCTCTTTATCTCTAGTATCTCTATGCCGAAGTTTAAATAAAAAAAATCCAACATTATGGGATATATTGTTTATCCAAACATGGTCGCTTTGATACAGTCAACATATAATCATTGAAAATCCAAAATGGCTAAAATACTATTGTTATTTGATAATATCAAATAACATCTGTCTTAGTCTGTATAGAAAATAATATATTTTATCTTACTCAACTACAAATGTAGTACAAATAAGCACTGAACATAGACAAACAAAACACTTTATTGAGTAATAAAATAGGTAAAAGAATACAAATAAAAAGTAAATAATTTCAAAAGAAAGTAGATGACATTTAATGTAAACATTTCACAGATGAGTCAGTCAGTCAGTCAGTAACAACGTAGAACTTCGTACGTACGTACATCAGTTCGAGTTGCTACACCACATTAGCACAGAGATGCAGCGGTCGATTCAAATTCCGTAGTGCTAGATGTGGTAAAATTATGAGCTGTAATCAGAAAAATTAGGGTTTGAAGATGTTATTCAAGGAGTATAAAACAGTGAAACAAATTTGGAAAGAGAAAAAAGAGAGGGACATGAAGAATTTAGAAGATTAGAATTTGGGAGAACACAAAGAGTGGATGCACCTGCGCCATTGAGCCATGTCATTCAGGGTCTCTAATAATCGGTTGCTATCATCTCGTGGTCCCCAACCAGGTAGTCTACACCTACCAATATGACTCATTCCACTTATCAGTGACTTCATGGACTTGTGCCATGCTTTGGTCTGGCCGCCCCTCACATTTTTGATTGAAATAATGGTTTAAGTCAGCCACAATAAGTAGTAATAACCGCTCTTTTTTGACAGACCTTAAACCAGTGACAACAAATAAGCATTCATCAGTTTAAATGCATTGGTGCAATACATTGCCATCGGTCGCACTTAATTGAAAAAATAAAGTTCTATCTGTATGTATAACGAGTTTTACATGTGGCAGAACAAACCTGAAGATGTGGGTAGGGTGTATACTCAGTTTGCAATAGTTAGTAGTTGCCAGTTGTGTTATCCTTATTCCTACTGTTTTAATTGTCAGCTTGAAATGATGAAGTTGTCGATGTACTGTTTCCTATCCTAAAACTGGTCACATACATTGTTGTGAGCCATTATTTCATTTCTAGTTATAGAGATCTATCACACAGCATTTAGATTTCAATTTCGATTTTTATGTCATTATAATCAATTATTCAGAACACTTACATCAGATAATGGAATCTAGAAAGTAATAGATGTTAAAAGATGGTTTCGGACAGAAAATAAATCTTAAAACTCAGAACGGTTTTTTATCAGAACAACATTAAGAAATTAAAACAAGATTCTTCATTGGAGTTCTATCAATTTAATTGTTTCGACATGAATATAGAAATGTCATTAAATGATGAAGTTCACTGAAATTGAAGCGTAAAGTATGATACATCTTCGGCAACTATACTGTTTGCCAACTACTTCACAACTAACAACACATGGATGTTTTATGATTGCTAGCAATAACCAGATTTACTAAATTTTGATAAGGCAGCTGTTACCAAACAATTACGGTAAAGTCTGTATGACCATTACTAAAAGTGGTATTTATGGCTTAGTAGTTCAAAGATATGATCACAAATCTTTGAGTTACAGTTTTATATTCTGCTTCGCGTACCTTATTCTGGAATAAGTCAAATTGTATCACTAATCTTCCTACAATGAACACAGCTTGAAGACTGTATAACACATATACCGCACTGTTTCTGCTTACCTGGTTTCGGAATTCTGTTTAATCTCGAGAATATTTATCAAATCACCCTAAAAAGCTTTTTCAAATTGGAGATGCCCGCTTTATTAATTTTGATTACATAATATTATTGTTACCTCATTACCTTATAGTCCATTGAGTGAGGTTAGGGAAATGTTTACAAAAAACTTATCTAAATTCTTGTTACTGGTCTACTCTAAAATTTCGGCCCTTTAATAACATTAGAAATAAAATTTAAAAACAAAAGATAGGAAAATAACATAATAGGTTGACTATAAAATGTATTTTTTACTTCGAGGTAAACTTATAAAAAAACTAGTTGAAAAAATTATCAACGAAAATAGGATTATTTATATGTTCACAACTAACCAAGCTATTGGTCGAGCGATTGGTTTTCGTTTTGCTGGAGTGTGCAAACTAGATTCAGTTGCCATCGTGCTGGCTTTAGCTTCATTCACAGCTCTTTTAAGCAGCAAACTTGATGGTTGAGGATACTCTTGTTTTGTTCTCACATGCTATGATGAAAAGAAACAACTCATTGCAACAAATTTTCTCTTTTCAAATAATATATATTCTTGAAAAATAAGAAAATAATCGTAATACCAATGACTAATCAATAAGAACATTTAAGTTTTGCAGCATAAACGTTCCATGCAGTATTAGGAATATTTGTACGCTACGATCCTTACACGTACGAAATGATGGTACAAGACAGAGACATTTGTTTTTTCGTTCAATTTCGAGTGAAATAACTTGGCTCAACGAACCGATTGAATAATGTAGGGGAAACGACCCTCTTAACCGCATCAGTACAAAATCTGGGTAGCAGTCATAAGAAGTAAATGGCTTATCACAGTCAATACTCGGCAGGCAACAACAGTTGTATTTCTTTGTATTATGGTTCGTTTTAATTCGTTAGAGAGGGATGTACTTCTATACTATCGGTAGAAGGATAGTGTGCGTTTAGTAACATTCTAACGGCACACAAACACTTCACGTAAAGTGAAAACATACAAATACCTCCCTTCATTATTTATGTTCCTGATTAATTTTGCATGAGCATGTGTGATGGTGTGACAGATGAAACCGATCTACGTATAGTGAAAGCCGGAGTGGTTTATACCAGTCTCGAATATCTTTAGCATCCTCGTGATATCTGTAAAGTTTCGAATTCACAACACGGCGGCGAGAGCAGTCCTGTTCTACGTTGGTGAAATCTAGAGTCTCAGATTTGAGGGTATTTATTTGAACACATAAATATTAGTACTAAGGGGTACCGAATACGTATGCGCCACACAAGTCACTAGATTTGTGTGCGGACTATGACACTACCCGGGTGCCCAGACCCCAACACGTGGTTTTCTTAGGGAGCCACACCCGGAACCTTCGACTTAGAGGTTTGATCCACAAGGCAGTAGGGCAACATCAGGAGACACAGTCCCATGGTAGCTGGTGACCAACAATAGGTTCATACGCCATTTGTTCCTTCAGGATACTGGAGCCCATATGCACCAATGGGTTAGAATCAGGGTTTTACAAATCCCTTAGGTAGACTCTCCATATCCAGGGGCTCTGTTCGACCATCATTATCTCTGAAGGATTATTGATACTTCAGTGGCAACACTATGTTAGCAATAGTGAGGTTCGGTAGTGTATGTTCGGGTACGGTAGCGAAAACTCACTTGATATAACTATAGTGAAAGAGGTTTCGGAAGCTAGGTGATACAAATATCCCGGCTACTCCCGTATCATACTTAATTTCCTGACGCTGGAATCAAGTGGAAGTGGAGAGATAATCAAATTATGATATAGTAAGAAGGTATAAAAGTTATATATGACTGCCATGTCAGACTACACCAACTCCCTGATTAAGGTCTTAGAGTCTTCTACCGGCAGTGATGCTGTTACTACTCCTTCAACTCTGGTATCTACTTTGATGATTTGATCTTAATGTGCTGATGTGTAGAAGAAGTCTGAACCGGTGTACATACATACCACATCCTACGTTGAAGATTACTGACTTTTATAGTCCCTGAACAAAATGATATCATGCTTTTATAGACAGACGGATCGGTGTGGATTACGAAAATATGTATTTTCAACTACGTCCACTGCAGAATCGAATACGCATATAAGTATTTAAAACTCTTAGCGAATACTACTAGATGTGATCACTATCGTTTTTCAAGGGTTTTCGAATAGACGAAATGTTTCGATAACTGTGATCGAATGCCCATTAACAAACAAGAAACCCCGTGCGCTTTGAGGAAAGCTGGCATCATAAATGGTATAGGCGTTTTCAACAATATCAGTTATAGCAATACTGCACAGAAACAATGATTACCTTAACACTATCTGAGTTTTTCACCTCAACAACTGATTGCAGGCTGCTAACTTTATCCGATAGTTCTGAATTATTCTCACTTTCTTGAACTAACTTTCGGGATAAGGAAGAAGTGGACATGATTTTACGCTCCTAAACAATAAACATACTGTTGAAATACTTACTTCTTTAATATGATAAGACCCATTATCCTCGGAAATATATACATCTACAACGTTTACACATTAATTCATCTCACCTGCTGCTGCCTTTACACTGCCATCTACTTCCGCGTGCGGTTCGCGGGAACTATTAGCATATCTACCATGTTTAACTGGTTCTAAAGGCGACCTCGATCTAGAACGATTCGAGAACTTGGGAGAATCACTGCGAGATTCAGACGAACGTGATTTACGACCCTTCCGTCGCCCAGACTTTGATCGTGAAGACCGTACACTTTCATTATCTCTACGTCCACCACTAGAGTCTTAAGACATGAGATTAAAGTGACGTAAGAACCTACCACGACCTATAACTTTTAAGTTTTCAAGCGTTTGGTGGAGCCTAGAGAATAAATAAAGTCAAAATCCCCCTCACCATTCAGTAAACTTATTGGTATGTTCACCCAGGAACAACTGTAAGTCTTTAGCCATAGCGCTTTCACTTTTTTTGTTCGCAACCATAACCATAATATAATCCGGAAGTTCATCATCAATGAATGCACCAAGAGTCTTAAGTTTTTCTGTTACGCGATCCTGTAGAATGTCAAATTAATTCCTTAAACAGAAAGAAGACAAACCTTCACAGTCAGCAGGAACGACGAATCATAAACCATTGATAAGATGAAACGTAAGGATACTAAAAAGGCGCTCACTAGTTCAATTGATCAAATAACTTTGAAAAGAATTAGTCTTCAGTCTTCAGTAATAAGGATAGTAGGTTGGTGAACCTGTATTAATCCTGACACATTGCTTTCCAGTGAAGGTCCAGCTTCTCCTTACAGCTTCCACCTAACGAGGTTTCGTGTCTAAGAGCAATGGATCTTAAGTACTTTCAAATAATGATCACGTTATGCAGAAAAATCGGAATCAAGCACCCGGACGAATTAAAGTTAATAAGTTGATAAACGCAGTACATGAAGTTTGCTTTCTGAATACTCCTTAATTCTTACGTTCTATTTGTTTACGGCAACAATCGGAAGACTTAAGTATTTTAAATTGTGGTGTTTACCACAAGATTTAGAGAATGAAAACGCCGTTTGGAGTGTCTGTTGGCGTTAGTTTGAAAAGGAGTCTGTTATTGATTCTTAAGTCAGGATTCCACGAAACACATGAAGAGTCAGGATACAAAAAGCGATCAACACATCAATCTAACTAGAAACTTATGTAAACAATGTAAATTTAGAATTTTAAAAATTCGAGAAACTAATCTCTATGTCAGAATCATAAAAAAATCGACCGAGAGTAATCAAGTACCAAAGTAATGAGTTATCTAGTCTGATAAGTAAATAATCTCAAGATCTGTGTACATAGGTTGTAATTCATGTGGGTTTTATTCACAATTACGCGTATATATGAAGTAGATGCCATTATTTATAGGTGCAAGCCGACGAATTAGGACTATTCATCATATCTACAGTTATTTCACAACCCTGACATTACTAGAGAGCTACTGAGTTACGTTGTGGTGTTTGTATGGATTAGAGATTCCTTTGTACTTATTGACTACCTGGTTTCGAATTCTACATACAATGCGTTTATTTGTGTTCACCTAGTTCTATTTACTGTAAATTGCACTGTTTTAGGAATTTCCGCTTCGTACAACAATCCAAATGCTGCTAATTTTCACACACATCCGTTCGAACTACGACAGGAATATGTGTCTAAAAAAAGTTGAATTCCCAATACATATTATTAATACTATGCATTCATGTTTCTTTGTTTGTCAGTGAAATGAAAGTTGGTCGTGTGGAGTTACCACCTGTGAACTAACATTTATACCAGGCTTCTTCTATCATAGCTAAACCTATTTGGTTGATCATTTTATTTTCGAAACTCCGTCTGTAGCTCTTATAGGGTTACTGCCGGTCCCAAGCCCGGGTAAAGGAGGAGGGTTGGGCATGGGGTTAGCGTCCCCATCCCGTAAAAAACTAACTCGCTAAAAAAACGCTTACTAGAAACAATAATCCAAACCATTTTAACTCGTCCCTTGGAGTTAGAAGGTCTTCATTTAGAAGAATTATGACGCTTCATGGTGAAAGCCGAGTTCCTTCGGAAGCCACGAGGCCGATGCCCCTTCTAACAACTAGAGCAAAAATTTTTATAGGTACATGGAACGTTCGAACAATGTGGGAAACCGGGAAGACCAGTCAAATGGCAACGGAAATGAGGAGATACAACTTGGCAGTACTGGGAATCAGCGAAACCCGTTGGACCCAAGCTGAACAGAGAAGGCTAGCTACGGGAGAGATGCTGCTATACTCCGGTCACGAAGAGGACAATGCTCCACACACTCAGGGAGTCGCTCTTATGCTGTCCATAGCAGCACGAAATGCACTTGTAGGATGGGAATCTGATGGATCCAGAATCATCAAAGCATCATTCAAAACAAAGAAGGAGGGGATCACAATTGACGATGTTATTATTATTATTATTATTCACAAACATCCTATGGGTACATAAGTGTTGTGAAGAAACCATTTCGGGTTTCTTCAAAAAATGCAATAATACACAATTTTCAATAATGTCAGCATTATACTTGCCATTTAAAAAAAAACATTTAGAGCAATAATAGTAGAATATTAATAATAATAAATCGGGTCTGTGCAATTGAGAAGAATATTGAATTGAGTTTAAAGAAGGAAATGGAGAAAATAAGGGAATAGGAATAAAGGAGACGTGAAATACGTAAACAGTCTAATAGGCGTGTTTACGATCACAGAACAAGAATAAACGACCATGTGTGTATCGTTAAATTAGTAACAAAAAATAATTAAGAAAAAATAACTTATAATTGCAGTAAGATATGACGCTAGAATAAATGTTTGTGCAGTTATAGTTTAGAGTGATGCTATGAAAGTTACAATTAAATGAAAAGGATAATAAAATATCAATATGTATGAGTCATATACGCATAGTGAAGATAAAACGGGTCTGAGAATTTAATTTAAGTGTAACACAAGTTATTGTTTTAATTACAAACTTCGTAATCTTAAGAATAATATTTATTTAGAAGGAAGGGAGAAAGAAAAGAAATGAACACATAGTGGAAAGTTTTGATCCATGATAAGAATAATAATTGTGTAATGAATATCAATCTCACAAGGAAACCAGCAATTGAAAAAATAGAATAAAAATCCGTTAAAGCACTCGGATAAATACATTTAGAATTATGTAATAGTATACAGAGTGAAACCGGATATTAGTATAAATATTTGTGCGATAATAATTAAGATTGATGCTATGAAAGTCAAAATTGATTTCAAAGGACAATCTGGAGTTAAATATGTTTAGAAGGATAAGAAGAGATAAAAAGAGTATCCAATGTATCGGGGGACCAATAATCATATTGATAACGGTAATAATTATAAATACGAACATAACCAAACTTCATATATTAAGATGAGTAGAAATAAAATAAAATAGACGTGAAAAGTTCCAAAGGTTACATTTTCTTTTCAGTCAATTAGATGGATGACGGACCTTGTTTGTATAAATCATTATTGAATACATTGATGTTCAATAGGTGACATAATCCACTTTCGGAAAGAAAATCATCAAGGAGACTTTTGAACCGGGCTGTAGTTTCACTGCAACGGAGGTTCACTGGCAGTCTGTTCCACATGGTTGAGTAGCGAATAAGGAAAAAATTCTGACGTAAGTTTGTGTGGGTTCTTGGAATCGCTAGAATATTCTTCTTATTGCGTAGATTGTGGGATGATATCATAAGGTATGAAGGGGTGGATACCCAAGAGTAGGAAATACCGTTAATAAGCCGGTAGATAAAGACAAGATTTAATTTGATACGTCTGATCCAAAGAGGTTCTAAGTTGACTTGTTGACATCTTTGGTAATATTCTGTAGCGTGGCGTCGAGTTGAGATTAACTATGAACACCGCTACCAAGAAACGCGTGCCAAATAAATCAGAATGCGTAGGTTGAACGTAACCAAAGAAACCTATGAAATCTCCGAGAAGCCAAATATCAGAAGGCAATTAATGGACCAAGTCGATATTTATTTGCTGGCGATCTCGTGGCATCGAAAGGATACCGAGATCGTGCCAGGATACAAGCTTGGTTACAGAAGGTAACCGAATTCGCGCGAAGTTACAATCAAAAGTGTAGGAAGGAGAATGGAAGCACAATATAGCTGTCATTAGCACAGTCAAACAAAAGCACATTAAAACAAACACTGGTACAGTTGGTTATAATAATAATTGTTTTTATTAAACCAGTCGTGTTCTCGTGATAAATGTGAGTCACTACAAGTCTTTGTTATCGGAATACCCCAGAACAGCTTTGGTGAACTTTCTCTGAACACCTTCAATTCTAATCAGGTCATTATGTCTACAATTACTGTAAACTAAAATACCATATTCAAGAATGGGTAAGATACATTTTCTGTATAGTAACAATCTCGATTCGATATTATTGAAGTTTATCATTATCAATCCGATCAGCTTTCTAGCTTTGGATACTTGATATATAATGTGTTCAGAAAAGTTCAGACTGTTGCTATATCTTAAACCCAGGTCACGAACAGTGTTGAGAGGTTTGAGTGTATGTGTGTGTACAGTCAGATTTAAGTTAAGACAGCGACCAATGTGAATAAATCCACTTTTGTCAACATTAAGTGGCATATTCCACGAAATAGTCCATTCGTACAACTTGTTTATTTCCTCTTGGATTACCGCTGAAATATAGCTTTCTTTCGTGGGAGAAGAGAATGAATAAACTACTTTCAGGTCATCAGCAAAAAGGAAAGGCTTACCATACTGAAAGAGGGAACACACATCATTGATAAAAAGGAGAAAAAGCAATGGACCAACCACACTTCCTTGTATAACCCCACTGGTTACATTCACAGGTTTAGAGTAGCAAGATCCAAAGCGAACGATTTGGCTACGTTCTTCTAAAAAAGATTTGAGCCAAGATAAAAAGGGATTCTGTATGCCAAATGAAGAGAGTTTTAAAAGAAGAAGTTTGTGTAAGACACTGTCGAAAGCCTTACTAAAGTCGAAGTAAAGAATTACCGCTGACTAACCAACATCTCTTTTCTGTGTAATTTGATCAAAAAACTCCAGGTGCGATGTGAAACATGAGCGTTTAGTCATAAACCCGTGTTGGGATGGGCTGATCAGACTAGCCGAAAGTAAAAATGATAATAGCTGTTCGTGGATGATTTTTTCAATGGTTCTTGAGAGCACGGATGTTAAATTAATTGGCCTATAGTTAATAATATCACTACGTGGTCCTGTTTTGAATCTAGGAGTGATAAGGGATGTTTTCCATACAGATGGATAGGTCCCATATTCCATAGATAGATTGAAAAGTTTCAAACAAAATAGTGGAAATTCTCTACTTCTATATTTCACAAATGATGAAGATATCTCGTCAGGTCCACCATCATAAGACTTTTTCAGGGCAGCTATGGCCTGCTTGATGTTGGATTGTGTAAAATCAATTTTCGTCAGATGTCTGGATGTCAGCATTGGAAATGTAACGATGGAGTTTTCAGTCCCAGTTTTGTAGCACTGCGAGAAGTGCTTGCTGAATTGTTCGCATATAGTATTAGGGGTCGTTAACAATGCTTCCGTTAACTATGAAGAATTTAGTC